TTCACTGCCCCCTTGTCCCCATATGCTCACTGTCTGCTCCAGTGGCTTGGCATAGGATGGAGGTACACCAGACCAGGCAGTTTCTGGATAGGGACAATGTGCTAACAAATTGCTTGCTTGTTCCTTGAGCTAGTTTGGTCTCATTAAACTCAAGGTCTCTTGTGTGTTCAGCTGAGCGGTCTTGCCTGGACATATGCTAATGTTTATCAGCAAGGCAGAGACTAAGTCGGAGGAGGAAGCAGGAAAATGATCAGCACGGAAAGGGACAAAAGGAATAAAGAGGAAAGAAAGGATTGGGAAGAGAACTGAAGGATATGAAATGAAATGGAAAAAGATGAAGAGACAAGGCAAGGGATGAATGGAAAAACTAGAAGTTAAGGAGGAAGATGAAAATGAGAGGTGGAAATGTTGCAGACAGACAAGGAGAGAGAAAGGGGGTGGAGAGGAGGTGGAATACCTTGAGAGTGAGGAGGGAGGCAGAGCTTGAGTGGAGAGGTATTTTCTGCCAGACATGCCCCCTGTTTCTGCAGGATGAACACCATGCATGCAGCCAGTGCCCCTGTCCCGTTTCCCACCGTGTCAGCATTCCAATCATGCATCAGCCTTGAGCTGTATGGCGTGGGGCCAGTGCGTGCAATCCCCTCTCCTTTCAGAAGAGTTTCATGTGGAAAGTTTTGAAGAAGAAAATCTCTAGCGAGGGAAGAAGAATTACTGTATAAATTCAATTACCTTGACAGCTCAGTGCTCAAATTCCATCACAGATCAGGAGTTTCTCTCTGATTTAGATAGTTCCAGCCTAACCTGCCCCTGCACTTGCCCACCCACACCAGAGGCCACAAAATGCTTTAGCAGTGCCAGAAATGAGCTGCTGTATCCCTTGGGAGATATGCATTCCCCCCTGCTCTGTCACGATAAGGGGAAAGAACAGCTAACAACCAGAACAAGCTTTATTTTTTTTACACATCATTGACTTTGACTGCCCCTGAATCTTAGAGAAGCTAAGGTTTCTGCAAACAAGAAATGCTAAAAACAGCCAAGAAGGAGGGAAGAACTAGATTGAAGGGTGGTCAGATCATGGGGGCTACTCTTGCTCATGGCACTGAGCTGCCACAAAGCAAGGACAAGAAGCCTGGAAAGCTCCGGGAGTTTAATGAGGCGGCAACCATTTTTTACTAGATTTAATATTTCCCTGCTCTTGTCTTATGAACACCGAGCAAACATACAGTTTCCTGGGTTGCTGATGCGATAAGGATCCAGGCACCAAAGGTCAGGTGACTGTCTGAGTCAAAATAAGCACTATGCACCTAATCCACCACCGTAGTATCTTGAGACACAGACATAGGAAAATGTGAACCTCCTGAGATAAATCTGCTGCCAGTTTCTAACTGATTGCTTTTTTGCAATGACCGCTTTTGACTCTGCCACCATCTCTGCATGTGGCAGTAGGAGATCAGGTACAGCCCAAACCTAGAGGGGGTTAAGTGTACAGGGTTTCCATGCAGTGGGAAGCAGGGCTGGATGGAGAAAGATACATCTGGGCTGGTAATGCCTGCAATGTTGCAGATGCCCAGAGACTCTGGCAGAGTGCTTAGAGATCTCATTTCATTAGAGAAAGGAGGCAGCATTTGGATTCATCATTTTCACCTATGTAGAAAATACTTTTTTTTGTTAATCATGGGGTTTAATTTCACCCTGGTCATCTGCACTCCATTGTGGCATGGGTGTGCTACCCTTGTGCAAAGAGACGTGTGAACATAAGCTGATGCTAAAGCAATCACTAGGAATAAAAAGGTAAAAACAAGTCGTCCTAATGCAAAATTGCACTGGAATTGTGTTGAAGTTGTCTGGATATGATTTGTGTGACTATGATAGGCATAACTCATCCTCAGGGATTTAAACATCCTGGATGTGCCTCTGTTGTTATAACCAAGACCAGGAGGCCTCAGGAAGAACTGTAGGCAGAAGGGGTCTGCTAAGAGAGCCAAAGCCCTGGGGTCTGCTAGGACTGAGAATGTTTTTGTTAGATGTTGCTCTCTGAAAAATTTAGCAGTTGCCCTTCTCTGACACATCCTGGGGAACAGCCTGCTGTTTTCATTGGCAGAGTGACTTACTGTTTGGTGGGGTTTTTTTCTAACTAAACTAGAACGTAATTGCAGCAAATCTGCAGCCACCAAGGGCTGAAGGAGGCTGGCTCACTAGCTGTCTAAACTGCACAGTTGCAGCTAGGGTAGCATTCATCTTGCTCTGAAAGGACCTGCACTTGCTACTTTGATGATTATGAACTTTTTAGTGACACAGGGACTGTGCTATGTAGATGGCAAGCTCATTCCAGCTAGGAAAGAGTAGTGATGTGCACCTGGTTAAGGTTACTCCTACTGTAATTCCAACATGACTATAGCCACAAGAGGACAAAACTCAAACTGTTTGTAAATGGAGATTCTATTTTTACATGAATTTTGCATAGCTAAGTCTGAGAAAATATGTCACCTCTGCCTGTTGATTTAACCTCAGGCCTAGCCCTGTGTTCTTCCCCTGTGCTCAGTTTCTGTGAGGGTCACAGTGTTCTTCAGGACTTCTCATTTGGTTGCTTGAAACTCAGAAAAGACCACTTTTTGAAATTAGATGTAGTTTTGGGCTATTTGCTTATTTGGCATCTGACAGTGTGTGTTTCAGGTTGTTCTGCTACTGCTCAAAAATATTTTTTTTTTGCCTTCAGAGGTCTAACTGCAACCCAGTGCTCTAGGGAATGTGGTTTTTTTTAGGAGAGGAAAGGAAGTTCTCTGGGACTTCAACAAGCTTGGACACCTTTTTGTTTCTGTGCATACATCTACCCCTTATGACAGACTGTAGCACAGGGACTCCTTCAGTCATGAAGCTGCCTCTACGTGTCACGTCTGTGCTGTGAAGAGATGTTAGCCCACATCCTGGGAGCAGTACAGCTATGTCCATATGGTGCTTTGCCCATAACCATAGCTCTAAAGTTTCAGCAGGTCTGTCTAATTCTGGAGCATCAAGATGCTGATGAGGCAATCTTGCTTTATGCTTTTGGAGCAAGGTTGATCAAGGCCCTTTGCACTGTGTTCATTTGCACTATGCAGGTACATCCTTTGTGGGATGCCCTAGTAGTCATATCTGTGCATTTATATCCGTGTGTGTTCTTCCTCCTTTCATATCCATTTCTCAGTTTTATCTGACTCGGTCCTAATCCTCTGTCTATCATGAATGCTTTCTGTAGGCTAAGTATTGCTGCTTGATTTGGGGTGGAGGTTTTTTGGGTTGCATTTTCTGGGGGTGTGTGAATATGTTGATTATCTGCATGAAATCTCTCCTCTCTCCTGCACTCAGTATATGTGGAACTGACAGTTCTGGAGAGGTAAATGAATGCCACTGCATTTCAGAGGAAGAATTATTTCATGCAATTACTCTAAAAGTGCATGAGAGAGCAGAGTGAAAGGAGTAAGGGAGGGAGAGAAAGAGAGCATGAGAGAGAATAGTCACAACACTTTGACAGGTTTACCTCATTGTGTTTGAAAATCTATCGCTCTGATAAGTCCCCTTTGTGAAAGCTGCAGAGAGATAACGACATTTGCTCTTCAAAGTCCTTTTGAATGAAGAGGGTAATCAATAGAAGGATTCAAGTCCTCTCCCTGATATTTCTTATGGACTGGCTGTACCCCATTTCCCTCTCAACATCCCACTTAGGCTCACTAATTCACTCCTCAGTGGTTCCTGGGCAGAGGGATTTGGGTGGACTTTAAGTTACTGGATTCTTGACTTGTAGGTCTGTCTTTATAAATTATAATGGTTTTGGTTTGAGAAGGGGTGCAGTAACAAAAGGCTCTGTCCCCTGATCCCTCTTGGTCTCCTGGGTATGCTGAAAGGCCAAGGAAAAGGAAGCTTTTTGAAGCTTCGTTATTCACATCCAAGAAGAGATTCAGGAGAAGCAGTTCCTGTCCTGACTCTGCTGGTGTTTCACCTGCCAACTTTGTCACCCTTTTGGTCCCCTCTGCACAGGGAGTCACCCCAGGAAAGCTGGTGACAACAGCCCATGTCTTCCTGAAGGCCTCATGTGCCCATGTTCACTAAAACATGCAAAATGCTTTGAGATCCTCAAATGGAAATTGCTGGCCGGGGTTAATTGTTAGTATAATCTAGTTTCTTGCCATGCTTTCCAAGAGGTAGGCAAATTACTGGACATTTGCTATAGTGGATGAGGAGGGGAGCACTGGGCTAAGGGATGCTGGGCCAGGTCACTTTTTTTCACCTGCACCTGCTGCTCTTGCAGGAAAGCCAATGCGTTAGTCATAGTTATTTGTACTTTGAGGTTATTTAGGGAGCATGCTGGGTTAGAAAAGCTAAGGTCTAGCATATGTCCTAAAATTAGGCTTTTCCCCTTTTGGCTGGTGTCAGAAAGGAGTGATTTTACAGCTATGGGAGAAGCCTTCCCACCTAGCCAAAGCAGTTACCACTTTAAGTAGAGAGTTTGCTTCTATGTGAGGTAAAACAGGTTAGCTGAATCCGCCTCCAGGGACCTCATCCTGCACTGTGAGATGAGGGAAACACGGGGAGCACCCCGCTGCGCTGCAGGCAATGCTCAGCAAAACTGGCTATGCAGACCCTCTTCTTCCTGGCCTCCCAGGCAATGTTCACCCCATGTGCATGCCCTCGCCAGGAGTTCATGCTCTTTGGTGGGGCTTCTTCATCCACCTCTTCCTTTCCTGATGGTTGCAGCAGGTAAGTGTTATTGTAACTCCTGGCCTGCATCCACATGGCATGATGTCACTGCTCTCTGTCTTGCTGCAGACAAGCTGTGTTTTCTGCCAGGGGAGCTGTGGGCTCTGTTCCTGATCCCAGAGGCTTTAGCTTTTCTCTCAAAGATTCAGGCTTCATCCCCATGACTTCTAGAAACCCTAGTTTAGTGATGACTCTGTGGCTCAAGCCAAAATTTTGGATTCTTTTAAATGTTCTTTTTTTTTTTTTTTTTCTCTCCCCTTCTGCAGGATGGTGGAGTACTCCCTGGATCTCCAAAACATTAACTTGTCTGCAATCCGTACTGTCCGCGTCCTAAGACCCCTGAAAGCTATCAACCGTGTGCCTAGTAAGTCACACTTCCCTCTCACACCTGCTCAGCTTGGGTTCTAGGGAGTACGTGATCAGTAATGCTGTGTGTGGTGGTGTTCTCCAGGCGGGGTTCAGGTGCAAATTGAGTGGACACTGCTGCATGGTGTGTACAGTGCAGGCTTTTCCTCATCATGGGGCCAAGAGGTGTCATTGGGCAGGAAAACTAGTCTCCTAGCATATCTACCCTGGTCATCCTTTGTGCAGGGCCATGCTGATGGCTCAGGAGCAGAAACTGAACAACGTTCATCAATGGAAAGGATTTTTTCTCACTCTTGCTGAAGGATGTTGCAGATTTGATAATGTCTGCAGCCTCAAAAAGGGATGTGTGTGAGGTCTGGAGAGGGGTGAGCTGAGGCAAGTAGGGAGAATTGGTTTGCTCAGGCTTTCACAGGTTCTTTCAGATCCTCTCATGTGAAAACATTTCATGCCATTACAGCTTAGGGGTGTATAACACCGGGTATTTTTTCTCTCCTCCTCACCCTGTATTTTGTACTCTCTCTTTTATGCTGACTATCTCCCCTTTGAGCTGGCATGTGTGTATAGCTGAGTTGAATGCCTCTGGGCACGAGGCTGCTGGGACTGTCCATGAACCTGAATGTGTCAGCAGTTGAACTGCTGCTCACCAGAGCCATGTCTTTCTTACCCTGCTCCCCACCCCCCAAGTCAGTGCTGTTCTCCCTGCAGTCCTGGATGAGTATGCAGGTGTTGCCGTTGTTATTTAACTGTAGGAAACACTGGTGGATGTGGCTCATGCTTCTCAGTGGTTGTATCCAGGTGGATGGAAGTGAACTGGTGGGTAGGTTGCATGCCATTGGGATCAGGGTGTTGCAAGAGCTTTGAATTCAGTCTGCTGTGTCACTCCAATGTTTCTGGCTATTCCCTGTGCAAAGGCAGCAGCTGTCACATGCAGCTCTGTGAGACTTTAAGGGTTTCTTCCGCAAGTTTTTCTGTCTTGCAGAATGACAGGAAGTCTCTTTGCTCTTCCCTGTAATCTCCCTAATCAGGCTGTCTGCAGTGGTTAAGACCTTACCAGAGCTTTCCTAATCCTCTTGAACTCAGATGCTCCTTCTTTTTCAGATCTGAGGAATTTGGCACAGTCAGCCTCCCAGGCTGCATCATATGTTTTTCCTTGTGCCAAAGTCACTTTCACAATGCCACCTATTTCTTGAACATGCTATTGAGACTGATTTCAGGGTCTCTGGCTCCATGCAGAACCATTCAAGAAAAGGGTCTTTTCTCTCTTCCTGGGTGTATTTTTATTTCTGAGCAATAGCCAGGAACAGAATGTGCTTGAAAGGTGGCAGGAGGGTGCCAGGCAGGAAAGCAGCTGCTTTGGGCACTGAGTGAACACCATATAATAGGTCCATCGTGGGGTAATAAAGATGGGAGCCAAGAACAACCTTTTGGCTATTGACTGTCAGCTAAACAACTCCCTCAGCCAGTCTCCATTTCTGTGGCCCTTCCCCAGAGAGAAGAAGACTGGGAGCCAGCCATAGTCCTGGCTGTAGGCATGCACCGTGGCAGGGGGGAGGCATCTCCTCTGTGAGGGGGTGGGCTGGAGGTCGTGCATGGCAAGCTTGCCCCTTCCAGGAAGCGTATGGCTGGCTGTGTGAGGGCAACACTGTCCTTGTGTTTTGCAGACCCTTTTCCTCCCTGCTTCATAAGGAGTCCCATGAGTCTGCATTCAGAGACTGCTTTGAGACTGATCCCTGTTATCAGGGTAGACTTAACCTTGGTGGCGAGTGGGAACATCTGGAATTATATCCAACTGACTCCTGCAGATGTCTGCGTGTTAATTGTTATATACCAGCGGTCAGGAGAAAATCCTGACTGGCAAAAAGTTGAGAACTTGTTTTATTCCTACTTATCTCCTGGAACATCTGGAGTCACTCCCCTGCCAGCAGGAACTACTCTGGAAGGAGCGGTGTGAGTGGCATGAGAACTGGCCCACCAGGGACCTGCTGCATGCATGCCGAGGCACCAGGGATGCTTTAGATCATCTCACCTGACCTTTGTAGAGGACAGGCCATTGAATTTCCCCTGACTGCCTCATCTGTGGCACTGCCAGTTTGCTCCTATTATTGGTATAAAACTTTATTAAATTGTTGCTGGTTTAATTTCCACTTTGTGGTTAAACATTTACGTACCTTTCTCACTACATAAATCTGTGGTTATATGGAGTGAACATTTTGGAAGAAATGCCATCCTGCTATGAATTAAAAAAAAATAAAAATTAGATTCCCTGTGAGAGGAAGAACTGACTTGAGGGCTGAAAACTGGTGAAGAGACTGTAAACAAAGGCTTGTGATAAACAGGAATGAGCTGTGTTGGAAGAGGTGCCTAGTGGGGTACAGCAAACATAATTAATGGGACCTTTGGCCACAAATCTTTTTTTAATGTCTTTTTAAAGTTCTTCATTACTGATCTGAAGCAAGAAGAAAGTCTATTAGTGAAATATACTGATAATACCAAGATGGAGGTGTTGCAGGTGCTAGCAAAGAAAGTGGGGAATAAGACAGAGGGAAGTAGAGGGAAATTGAGGTCTTGGTGGGAGTGTGAGATATTTGGGGAGGTGCAGGGGAAGTTAATCCCAAAGGCAGATATTCATCTGTGTTCAGAAGGTTGCAATGGGACAATGTGGCCCAGCATTCACCAGTGGCCCATTTCAAAGACTTCCACATGGGCACCCAGGTAGGGACTGATTTTCACAGAGAAGTCTGGCCTTGTGAACTGAACAACAGCAGTTTATTATCAGAAGAATGGACAAAGTGATTAGGAACATGAGTGATTACTGCATGAGAGGAAGAGTGCTGAAGTGGTCTGTCTGGGTAGATTATTTAGCACTCAAAGAACAGTAACACTCTAATAATCAGACAGCGTTTGAAAAGTCCACATACTGAAGTGAGAAAAATCCGGAGAAATTTGAGAGAGATTTTGTACTACATGAAGCAAAAAAAGAAGCGATGCCAGAAAATGAGGAGGGAGGAAATTCAGGATGACTCTAAGGCAACAGTAGCAACATGGCAGAGGAAAAAGTATCACCCGTTAAATAAGTTAAATAAACGTTTTATATTCTTGGCAGGTGGGCAAGGCTGAAGTTTAAATGCCTAAATTGGCTGTGTCTAAATTCTGCTTGCCTGTGTTTATTCTTAACATGTTCCTAAAATCCCTTCCTTACAGTGAGACTTGTGAGGCTTTGAAACAATGAGGAAAAAAAAGGAGATGACAAATGCTGTTTGTGTGTGCTGTACTCATTATGTATAGTGTAAAGAATGCGTAGACTCTCCCACCTGAATCGTGACAGAAGAAGAAAAGGACACTTAGTGTAACCAAAAAGAGGCAAATGTTCATTAAGGAAGTTGTTCTCCACCTAGTTTGTAATAAGACTGTAAAGCTCACTGCCACAGGAAGTCCTTCCAGCCCCAAATCGTGTAAGAGGCACTGTCTGAGCGAAGTAAGTAAAATGGGATTGTCCAAGGGACAACAGCTCACATAGAGCTGCTTTAGGTTTAGAGCTGATCTTCAATGGCTGGTTATCAGCAATTGATTGCATTTCTTGCAGTTCTCAGCAGGATGTGCTACTGACCATTTTGAATTTCACTCTGGATGAAGAAGTCTCTGGTTCTGCTCTCCCTGATCATTCCTCCATTCTCATGTCATCTTTGAAGTGTACTAGAGAAAACATGAAGTGCCCTAGTTTTGTCATACATATCACACCTTCATTAGTATTCTGGCTTATCTCTTGTATTCCTGACTACAGCCACAGGAACGCTGCCTTTTGGGGTTTTGTTTGAAAATGCGTGAAACAAAAGTCAGAGATTGTTCTGGTCCTGTTACCATGTGATTCAATTCCATGGCAGTGAGCTGGTGTGACAAGCCCTTCCAGCCACTGAACAAGTATAAAGAGGGAAAAAATACCCTCCAGGTCTCTGTCAGAGGTAGCTGCTTTCTGCTCTGGGCATGTCTGTGTCCTGGGCATGGGGTGAAAGTCCACATCCATTTGTTCTTATTATCTTTTTGCGATTGTGTGGCAGGTTGCTAGGTGAAATGTTGCTGTTTCTGCTAGCTCTCATCCTTTCTTATGGCGAGGCACAAGGTTTGGGGGGAGGCTAGTTTTAGTTTATTTCTGCCAGCTTTTGAGCAGGGAGTCTGCAGTAATTTCTGATCATTTGAATTTCTTCTGTATTTTTTTTTTTTTTTGATTGGAGCAGAAAATGTTTCTTCAGTTTACTCTTCTTTGTTGCATTGGACTTATGCAAAGAAGAGTCCTTGCGTTGTGTTTGATGTCTTCCAGTTTCCACTTACAATTTAGTAACCGATTCATCATTTGGAAGCAGATTACTTCTGCTGAGCATGCTGTACGGAAGTGGAGGAGTCTGTTGCAGAGTGTTGCATAGCAACTTTATTGAGTAGAAAGTGTATACATGCGCTAATGCTTGGTGTGTAAGTGCAGTAATACTTATGTGGAGGTATAGGCATTAGAAATACAATATTATATTCTTATTACTAGCTGTGCAGGAAATAGAATTTCAGATTTGTGGGAAGTTCTGCTCTTTCTAAATGTGTTTCTTCTCAGTCAGAACAAGAATAAGCATTTCCTATCCATTTTAATATGGTTTTATTCTGCCTAATTTTAGGTTGCTGTTTGCCTTTTTGATTTTTTTCCAATACTTTGTCATGACAAAGAAGTTTAAAAATAACAAAAACCTCAACCATACCATCTGGTATAAAAATGCTTTCCTCTCCTCTTGTCCTCCTTTTCATTTTGCTAAATGATGTTTCGATAACTATCACAACACTGAAGTGTTTCCATTTCAATGCAATAGCATTCTTTGCTGGTAAAAGTGCTGTGTAGGAAAATCTTGGTCTAGCTCCATTTTTCTTTAATAAATATTGTTATTACAGTAGCTCCATGGGTCCAAATAGATCGTAGTTTTCTACTGTTCTTCTACAGACCTCAAAGATATAAACCAAGGC